ACCGATGTAACTTCCAAGCATTTTTGCCACTATGGACAGCATTGTTGTGAATCTTATATATCTTTTGTTCGTCGCAGATCTCATGAGACGTGATCGTTTCTATTCATCTTCTAAAAAGTTTTTGCACCTTGAGTAGTAAAATTCATGGGCGTTTTAGCACAACTGTCAGTAGTTCATAGAGTTTTTTCATGTAGACTAAGCCTTCCAAGCACTATGCCCTTATCAACAGCGATAAAAGTTTGCAAAATTTTTTATCTTCGCAATCGAAACTTGAAGCAAGCAGGAAGGGTTCGTGCATTCTACACCATTGATCAGGAGGCGTTTTAAAAATTTTCGAATTTCAACGGATGAAAAAGGTAAAGAATTATGATTTCTCCATCTGTTTAGAAATGAAGCCCCCTCCCCATTGCGTTCGCAAAACCCTGTTCTGAAACTATGTGAAAAAAGGCCTTTCTGAAATTTCTGACATGGCGTGGTCAATAATGAGAATGGCTGAGCAATTGGGCCCTGATATGACTTGAAGCAGAAGCCCCTTATTTGAGTGCAAAAAAGTGGATAGAGGAGGATGCGCTTGTTTTACTGTTTATATTTTAATACGATCAGATTTACGTAACCCTAGAAATTATGTGAGGGCGTATTCGGTTCATCTGCTTTAAGATGGAACGATTCTGGTTGACTGGAAGTTGATCACGGTTTCTACCTGTATACTATGTTATCAGGAGATTTCCAAACATAGTTCGACACCCCTTAAGCGTATATTCACACCAACTTTGTTGCTATGTCATTGCTTATAAACAAGCTTCGTTTATTTTGGCACATTTTGAAAACTTATTCCCGTATATTCAAGATAGTTTTGGTGCACTTGAACGATGGCCCTCTCTAGAATTTCCGCAAACAAATGGAGTATCTGAGAGGCAATTTCAAAGATAGAGTTGATGCCACTTTCAGCCTTCCAAGACTACTGTTCAGAGAAAAACAATGTTTTTCATGAAGTCCGTTTTCTTGTATTTAGTTGGTCTACAGCGGCGGCAGTTTTGTACCTCCCAATACTCGAGGCCGTGTATCAATTACAATTGCTGATGCAAACCTTGTGAGGAACTATGGCATCGTAAGGATGGATCCTTACTGTAGGCAAGTCTGATTCACTTCTCTCTCATCTTCAAAGAGAATGATATATTTTTGTCTTTTTGACTTACAGGCTTCGCGTTGGTCATGCCGTTTTTGAAACGCAAACTAAACTGAGTGGTGGTCGAAGCCCTGTTTGGAATCGCACAATCCATGCTTATCTTCCCAATGGAGTGGAGAGCATTTACATCCAAATATTTGATGAGGTGAGTGTCAGTTTTCCCTGCAGTGGATGGCTCAGCTAAGTCAATCAAGAACAGTCTCGGTTAGCTCACATGGTCTAGATGCAAAAAAATCAGGCGCTTGGACAACAATAGTGCTGCCACTGTACAATCTTGAGAAATGAAAGATGAAAGAACACTCAAGTTGTATACTATCATGCAAATTAGATTTCCCCTTTTTCCGTGTCCATTTCTCACTTTCAACAAGAAAGACATCTCTGTTTGGGCACAATTCTAACGAGTCCAGATTGTACCCATTTAGTTCAACAGGACTGGCGGCTAGAAGGTGACCGCTTGCGCCCGCGACATAGTCTGCCTCTCTCGCGAGAGTGCTCTCTAACCTCTACTTCTCTAACCTTGATGGCCTCGGAGCCCCGCCTCGCCGCAAATTTTTTGGAAACAAAGAGTATTGTATTATAGTTTCGTATCGAATTTATAAAAGCGTGGCTGCAAGTGCCTGCAGAAACGTTGTTTGCAAAAGTTGTTTTTCGCTAAGCAGTGATAGGCAGCGGTAGTGTGAACCCTTAATTGTGCCTCTCTTCGGGTTTTTTGTTTAGCCGCGTTGTAATGTTCTCCAAAACCTGTGAAAATAGCTTTACCATTACTTCAGTTGAATGTTGGTTGAAGTTCTGTTGTGTACGGCGCTGTGTCTTTCTAAGCGATTGATTATCGTGATTGGTCCTCTTATGCCCAGCAGAGGGTAAAGTATTTCATCAGCGAAGTGGGGTCGCTGTAATTTTATAGCGTTACAATGACAGCTCATTCTCCCTTTCCTGTTTAAGCAATTTGTTAAGTTTGGAAAAACGCGTCCACAGAGTTCAAATTCGATTAGAAAGTGCTTCAGACTCCGCCCCCAGTTCGGGTCCAGCCCATTCGCCGATTTTCAACTGTATGCTAGAGCATACATATCGCACATTACATTCACCATCCCAGACAATTTAGTAACTGATTTTCCGCACTCCTCGCGTTATTTCTATAAACTGATCAGAACTCTTTTGAGGTTGCTTGTCAACTTTTTATTTCAAAAAAGCAACAATCTATCTGGCAGTAATCTATCTGCAAAAATTCGAATTGAAAAAAGGATCAACAAGCGGTATCAGAGCGCATATTTTTCCGGAGATTCTGCAGGCCGAGTGCAAAAATTCAACAGCGGTATTTCTCGGTGGCCGCCTATCGGGGATTTGTCTGAAAGGGCCCGGGTATGAGCGGACCAATTAGGCAATAACTAACTGGAGGGAAGGACGCAACGGCAGTGCCGAACACATTCATCCAACGTTACACCATTCATCCAACATTTTACAAGTCCAGGAAAGGTAATTGCATTTGTATTTCCAAGTTTTGGAAAACGATAAAGTAAAGCTAACCAAAAATTGCCTCCGTAGCCAAAGCGCTACACACGCTGTCTAGGACCATGAGCTTCTGGCAAGCATCGAGGATAATTGGCCATCGGTCCGCATTGTTGATTTTTCGTATTCCGCTCGCAGAATTTTGAAAACTGGAGGATCTTATTCCCGACCCAAGTTGATTTTTTGCGAATAGAATACTTTCTGTCGAAGTAAACTGTTATGAGTTGACTCGGAGTAGCTGTATTACAAAAAATTCAAAAGCCGCCTTTACGAAATCGTAGGTCAGGAGCATCAGTAGAATTTCCCATCAAGTTGCAGAGAAGAGTCCAAACTCGTAATCAGGGGCAATGTTGTTCCGTACTGTCTTGAGTTTTCTCCACGAACACGGAACATTTGTAGTTTGAATGAGCTAAGTGCCAAAATTTACGTCAACCAAATGCGATTTGAATAATGATCGAGGAAATCTGTAATATTCTGCTAGCTGGCGGTGTCATCAAAAAGTTTTTATGATATAAATATGT